TTCTCTTACGGCTTGCATGTATAATGCGCAGCGAGTCTCACGACCAGATGAACGGCGTCACTTGTAATCGTCGGCATTATCGTTCCTCCGGCGCGTGCACGAAAAAGTCAGACGCTTGTGCCGTACGTCGCTATACGAAAATACCGTTTGTTTATCTTCGGAAACTCGAACGTTGGCTGCGGAAGTTTCCGATTTTCAATCACACGGCTATCCCTTTTACACTTGTGTCTGGCATGTTTTCACAAGCTCGCGCGTCGTTTCGCTTAAAACATATTGTTTTATTTTAGCCATCGGCAACGCGTGAAAGCTCGACGACCGATTCGAACCTACAACAGTTGAAATACTTGAAGAAAAAAAAAAATGAGCGCCCGAGTTATTACTGCGCTACTTATTGTCCAGGATATTTTCGCTCGAGCAAAGCTAATTAGTTTATATAATACACGGTTTTTCCCGCTGCGAGGCGAACGAGCCAAACGAGCAAATACAGGCGCGCTAAGCTCCCGAACGGCTTGACGAAAAGGCTCGTATGCACACATCCGTGCGAATTACTTTTTTCCTCGCAACGACAATCGCGGCATAATAATGTATACATACATGCCCCATGAAACATTTGCTATACATGCGTGCGTATCGATGCTTAAACTGAATATAGGTAGCGACAAGCCGATTTCAGCTATTGCCAATGAGCAGTAGTATAACATAATATTGTAGATGCTAGCGTGAGCTGGTTAGCTCATTGCCAAAGCGGAGCTGCTAAATAATAATAGCGGCAACGAGCCCGCCATGTTATCGAGCGCATCGAGTTATACATACGTGTTCGGCATTGTGTATGCCGTTGGAGCCCGAGCTGGAAATCTCGGCAGCTTTGATAGGGTCCCACATACGATCGTCGCCCGAGTTGCCGTCCTAGCCCAAAGTGTTGGCTGCAGCCCATGTGTGATTTTATATGTGTTTAGGTGCGACGCGCAGAGGATTATCCAGCGCGTGTGATACGCCAATGAGAGCGAGAGAGGCGAGTGTTATGAGCAGGGGGTCTCTCTCTCTCGCTCTCGCTTGTCGCTTGGAATATACAAGGACAATAGCGATCGCAGCCCTGCCTCTCTCGTTCTCTCTCTCTCTACTTTTCGCACCCTTCAACATGGACGAATACTTAGCGCGTCAGCTTCGCTCGTACTGCGGTATATTATACATTATGTTCTCTACCTATTTGACGACTATACATTTCGTGTGTTCGTAGCAGTCACGCATTCTCGACCTGTACATATAATATATCAGAAGAAAAAAAAATTGCTCAAGGATAATTATCCTCTTTACACGTATAAATTCTCTACTCTGCTGCGCGGCTTTCAACCTTATTCCTTCTCTTCTTCACCAACTCACTGATTCACTCGATACTTACATGTATACTGGCTATACTGCCGCTACTGTGGCTTGCGGTCTACATCTACATAGGCTTTTTCTTCTCAGCGTATTATTATCCTTTTTTTCAATGGCAACCTGACTAAAAAAGTCTGATTGCTATTCATCAGTGGTAAATAATCCATGTTATAACGTCCGAAAGCCTTGATGCGTAAGTGGAAAATCATAACAACAACAAAAAAGTACTTTCTTTGATGAGTATCAAACATCAATATAAAAAATGCAAACTAAACTTCATCATATAAACTATATGAAAATGTATAAACGGCTTGCTCATCTCAATGCGTACTGCACTTTATAATGGTAACTTTTTTTTAACCCGAATCAAGTTCAATGTAACGGCGGAGAAATGTCCTCGTCTTGCTACATAAATCAATATGTAGGTAGTTTTTTTACAAAAATTATTAGTTAAATTATTAAAAAGACTCCTCTTCAATAAATAAGTTTTTATAGCCTGCTTTATAATCATTTTATAAGAATTTAGCCATAACTTATATTTAAGCCTTTAAATTAAAAATCCATTAATATTCATTTGAAATTCCTATATAATTTACAAAGCCGTTTGCAAAAAAGGGCATCGATCTTCGCAATGGTGTCAAGCGCCCCAAGTGCTTGATATTTACTCAAGTGATCTCAATGGATGCGTGTTTAGAAATGTTCATCTTCATGTTGTGCGGGTACGTAAATGCTCTTCAGACTTTATGATTAAGTAAAAGAGAAATCAAGGCAAACAGTATCTCGTTTGAGTTTTCAAACTTGGGTCGTCAATATTTCGAAACGGTATCAGCTATATGTATGTTTACAGGTGCGTGGGAGTGTATATACACCTCATAGAGCTACGAGCTCGTGCATGTGTACACCACAGAGCGGGCTAGCTAGAAAATCGATACACCACTTCAGGAACGGCGCGTACATCGATGCGTTTTGCGTGTGTTAGTGCAGATAGTGGTTTGCGTTGCGATGACAAACGTAAAATATAACTCCATGTATAGTTTCCGGATATGTAGGTGTAGTTTCATTTGTCGAGGGTACGAATTCAGGTATAAATATACGCATCGTATTGAGGACATTATTCTGACAATTTTCGCAGCTTTTTCACCAGCTATATTTTCACCAATGTATATCTCGCAGAAATTTTTCGTTTAAATTGAAACCAAACCAATATTACTGTAGCAAAGCTGTAAACTCGAGTTTTTTTTTTAATTAATAATATTAATATTAAATTATAATGCATCGTTTTTATGCACGTATGACATTAATTAAAAATAAATTGAAAGGTATTTTTAATTTCTTGTTTGCGTATTTGTGAGTTTATGAAAGAATTTGTTCCATTCAGAGAATCATCAAAGTACAATAAATGTGTGTACTTGGAGCATTATATTTGCGCTCAGCAGCAGATCGCTAATACGTGACCATAATCCGATCGAACCGATACATATATAAACGGAAAGAAAGGACTCGCGAAGATGCATGCGGTACGAAGCCAAGTAAAGTCGACTGTTTTGCTTCAAGAGTCAGGACACATATAGGAGCGAGCTACAGAGGATAACCGTACTCGGGCGAGCTCTGCGAAAAACGGTTCGATAAAATACGGAGCTGGCAGCTGCGGTGGCTCGACGCTATACATTTATACATGTATACTGTATAGGTAGGGAGCAGTGGCGGCGGTGGCGGCAATTCGCATGGTATAGGCCTTGCCTGCGCGCGCCGTCGGCACACTGCACCTCTACAGCCTGCAACTCCACACATTTAAAGCTCGCTCTTCTCGTATGCTACACAGGAGTCGCATCGGACTGTGCGTAACTCGTTGCAAATCGTAGCTCTTAACGTACGACACGTTTTTTGACCTTCAGCTTGTACTTGGCAAATACTCCCCGCTTGTATATACAGCTAATCTAATGGTTCGGCAACTATAACATTTCGTTATTGCTAATTTCGATCCAAGAGAAGATGAAAGATTTGGCGGTCATCGAGCTCGAGACATAAGTTCGAAATAAATACGTTTTCATTCAGTTCTCCTTCTGTCATGCTATCACTCCGGAAGCTGCATAAAAAATTATACGCTTTTGAATGCGATTTATGATTCGAGAATTTTCAAAATGCTACGACTTTTAGCAAAGTTGAAGTTCCAATTGATACTCGAAAATAGATATTTCTTCATTTACACAGTGTAGCGAGTAGCCGAGCTGTTTTGACTCTTCCAAAAAGATACACTCTTAAATACATATTTTGTAGGTATAAAATGGAGTCGAGCAAAAATAACATAGTAAATATTGGAGCGAACGTGTTGAGAGGTAAAACTCGAGGCCCGTGTAAGAAAGTGGCGAGTCTATATTTATAAAGAATAGGCTTTGCCAATGAGCTCGCTGGGCGTCGGTAGCTGCAGCTATAATACGCATATACATGCCCGACGAGCTATACGTCTTATACAGAGCTGTATAGAACTAGAGAGAGAGAGAGAAAGAGAGAGTCAGTGCTTTGCTAACTCAACGCGCAGTCCATGAGCGAGAGATCGCGTTACCCTCGCATACACTCCCACTCTTTGTGCGATTTCTCGCTGGCAGCACGCGTATATCGGCGCGCCGAGTCTGTGTAGGTGCAGCACTGCATATCATGCGCGCACGTATATACATCCACGTAGACGCGAGGGAGTAGTGTAGGTAGTGCTCGGCGGCATATCGCGAGAAAGAGGCAGCGGAGAAGACGAGCTGGAAGTTATACGCGTACAGAGATATAGCTATATCATGCTGGCTGGTGAGCTCGCTGCCGGTATTTACGCTGGCAAAGTTCGCTGGCGTGCGGTGGGGTTATATGCAGTAAGCGAGAGGATATAGCCCCGGTGCGGCTAGGCAGAGTAGCGCGGAGGCACGCAGCCAGTCGACGGGTAACCCATGGCAACGACCAGTGGATCGGGCCAATCGTCGCGCTTGAGGGGTAAGGGCGTGGCCACTCGGCTGCAGCGGGGAGCGAACGGCCCAGCCGACGGCTCGCCAGCCTAGCCCCGCCATCGTGGCTGCGCGCGCGCTCGCGCCGATCGCTCGCGGAGGGGAACGACATGGAGAGGGCCGGCTCTGCGAGCGATGCCGGCCAGACGCCAGCCAAACTAGTTTGCCATTCGATCCGATCGGAGCAGGGTCGCTGCGGATTTTGCTCTCTGCTTCTCTGCTTCTTCTGCTGCAGTGCACACTACTACTACCTACCTACCTTCGTACTATACTGTTTTATTAAACGTCAAAGCGTTGGTTGACGCGACAGCTCGACGTCTATAGTGTTTTTGCAGTGAAAGTGCAGCGCGTCTCTTGTTATATGCTATCATTACGTAGAAAAATTTGCACCAAGACACAAAGTGATCGTTCAGTTGTTTTGTGATATGCTGGAAAACTGTTGGCATCGCATAGGTCGTTGTCATCGAAGCCATAAGCCGCACAGCTGTCGGAGCCTCTCCTCGGTAGGCAGCTCGATCGCGATTGCATCCCCGAGTCGCGGCAGCCGAGAACGTCGAGAACGGGCCGCGAAGGCGAATCGTTAGCCGCAGCAGCAGCAGCCGAGCGGGGCGCCCGAGTGCGCGGGTAAGGTGGTCGATGTCAGCGGTGGCGCCCGCAGCTTCAGCGGGTGGCGGGCCAGCCCCGCCGGGCAGCAACGGGCCCATAGTGCCGTCGCCCGTCTTCGCTCTGCCGACCCTGTCGTTCACGGTGGGCCAGGTGGCGACGGTCTGCGAGACCCTCGAGGAGTCCGGTGACATCGAGCGGCTGGCCCGCTTCCTCTGGAGCCTGCCCGTGGCCCATCCGAATGTGCGCGAGCTCAACGGCAGCGAGGCCGTGCTCAGGGCCCGGGCCATCGTCGCCTTCCACTCGGGCAACTATCGCGAGCTCTACACCATCCTCGAGCACCACAAGTTCACCAAGGACTCGCACGGCAAGCTGCAGGCCATGTGGCTCGAGGCCCACTACCAGGAGGCGGAGAAGCTCAGGGGTAGGCCTCTCGGGCCCGTCGACAAATACCGCGTGCGCAAGAAGTACCCCCTGCCCCGGACCATTTGGGACGGCGAGCAGAAGACGCACTGCTTCAAGGAGCGCACGAGGTCGCTGCTGCGCGAGTGGTACCTGCAAGACCCCTATCCGAATCCGGGCAAAAAGCGCGAGTTGGCCAACGCGACCGGACTGACGCCCACGCAAGTTGGCAACTGGTTCAAGAACAGACGCCAAAGGGACCGAGCAGCCGCTGCCAAGAACAGGTCAGTAGTCTTTTAACTGCACTTCTTTGCCTATATTTGCCTCTCGACTCCTTTTTTCGAAAGCCAATCGAACCGTGCACGGATTAAGACTTGTATCGTTCTCGTTTCCTCGAGGATTAGTCCAATACCCATCTATGATATCTATGTTCAACGGTGGTGGGTATTTAAAGAGCCGCTCAACTGCGTAGATTATCTAAATTCGCCTCTAAAGAATCTGATTCCTCGCAGCTAAACGCTACTTATTGCATTCTTCGCTCTCTTTCTCTCTCTTTCTCTCTACGTTTCTCTTTCCGAAAAGTCACTGCTTGATCTGCCTCCGGACATGTGTCGAAGGCTCTGGCCATGCCAAAGTTTGAGCGCGACCGAAAGCTCGAGGCATAACACACGGGGGAAACAAAATAAAAAGTCAGAGTAAAAGTCAAGTCGTACATAACGTAGACACACTCGAGTCTACTTGTGTTCCTCGACGCGTGAAAGCTCTCGAGCGCAGAAGGAGCTGGGACGCGCTGCCGACGGCCACTCGAGCATCGCACCGCGTGCCAGCCGCTCGCTCACGCGTAATACGGGTGCACTCGATGAAAATTAAATGGCCCTTCGGTCACGAGCTCGCAGCCTTTTTTTTATCCTCCTGTTCGCAGCCCAGGACAAAATTGGCTGAGAAGCTCTTTAAATTGGAGTTTGTCATCGTATACTCGGTCGCTTGCGCGTGCGAGCTTGCGCGAAGCAGCTGAGCTTTAATTGAAGTTAATCGCGAAACGATTAGCCTAGAAGCAGCTTCATCGACGACGAGCGGGCGCGCAGCAGCCCGTCGGCCAAATACCTTCTATGAGCGAGCAAACGACATAACGTTTATGACGTTGGGCACGTTAAATCGTTGTCCTTGCGGCATAAAGTCTTTTGTGGGCTGTGGCTGGCGAGGCTCGATGTGTATAGCATTTATATATGCATGCGTCGCTTGCTTATGTCTCTCTTTCTCGCTCTTTCTCTGCGTCCCCTCTGTCATAATAGTGGCAGTGCTCGGGCCGCTGGCTCCCGCTGCTGCTCGTCGCGAATACACAGAGAAAGAGAGGGTCGCGTAATTTCATTTTGCCTTCGTTGACGTCGTGCAGTCCGTCGGAGGGTCGAGCCGAGTCTAGCTCGTTGTCGTCGATTTTCAAATTACGCCTTTCAAATCGTACTTTCGCCTCGTGCTCTATAGGTTCTGTCTGCGCGAGTACCTATGTGTGTGCGCGCTTTATGCCAGTCTGCAATCTACATCCTTTCTTTATCGTATCTCCGCTCTTGCTATGCCATTAAAAATGTATCTTGCAGCTTGCCATGCGTAAAACATGATATTACGTTCAGCGTAACCTGGTCTATTTTCGTTTGTTCGTTCCGAAACACGGCAAAGCGTCAAATATAATCTTTAAAATATTCGAAAGTATGTTGCTCGCGAGCTGAACCGACCAACGCTTGATTATTCAGAAACATAAAAAGAATAAAAAGCAAAGAAGGAAAATAAAAAGCGTATCCGAGCAGAGGACAGAACGTTTACACGCGGATTAAAATTGCTTGGTCGAATAAAACCCCGGCTTTCCAGGCTTGTCGCATTAAGAGAATCATAAGAAGAAACTTTGAGGTCGAAACGTCGAGTTTGGAGAAAACATTGTGTGTGTATCGATGTTTGTGTACGCTCGGTAATGATTTACTTGTCAAGACGGTGTGGTCTACCACGTCCAGTGGCGAGAAACGAGCGACGGCATTGTGTAACCGCTACGCATGTAAACGCAGCGGCAGATTGATATATGGCTGACTTTTATCGTGCGACAAATTCTGCCCTGCTCGTGCCCACTGCAGGACTTTCAATCGAACGAGCAAATTAGCACTTTTCCACTTGAACGATTTATCGCTGCATTATTTTTCAATAAGGTGCGCGCGTGCTCGCGCACATATGTAAATTAGTAAGTGCGCGTACGCAAGATTTACAAGCGTAAAAATCACAATGGAAAGGTCGTATCAAGATTTGCGTGACTCGTTTCTTAACCCGATACGTATAACGGCCGACAATCGTGCGACTGTTAGCGCGTATACGCGAGTTTGCTCCGGCAAATATGCAAACTTTGCAAAAAAGAGATTTTGGCTCGCTGAAAAACGTAGCACTCGCTCAGTTGGTTGATAATCCGCGGCGCAAAAGATTTTTCCTATAGCAACAATGACAAAGGAAGACAAAGAAACACAAACGATGTGCGTATGAGTGAGTGGGTGTATAAAACAGAGGGGAAAAATCATATTTTCGTGAACAAAAGAATCCACTCGATATTAGTTACGCGCACACGGACCAACTTCGCAGGTTACAGGCACGTATGCTAGTACGTACATGTATACGTATTTGCGAGTAGCTCAAGAGCAAAGAACGGAGCTACGGGAAATTCCGAGCAAGCCGCGCATCTATGTGTGTATGTGTGTGTGTGTTGTATACGCGAAAAGCTCGAACGAGATAAAGGGGTGCGAGCGAGAGGCGGACGGAGATTTGCCCCGAGGATGCTCTGCGCGCGCCTCTCTCTCTCTCTCTGTCTTCGCATCACAGCTCCTTTTCACAGCCAGAGAGCATACATAGAAAGCCCGAGCGCCGCCACTGCCGCTGCTCCTGCTGCCGGAGTATATTTTCGCGGTCCAGCGAGCGAGTTATTCAATATAATATGCTCGCAGACTCCCTCGAGCAATCTCTTGGCTCTTGCTCTCACCGACGGATCGGACTGCACACACACACATACACGCTCGTACACACACTGCGCACACACGCAGCCTATATAATGTAATACGCATATATATAATACGAGTACGCCCAGTCAAACGACTGTGTAGCATATATATAGAGCGAATACGCGCACGTAAATGCGGATGTAGACTTTCCCGTTGAGAGATGAGAAAGTTCTTGCTGGCGAATTTTCCTATCGCGAATGGAAAAATTGTCTCGAGAAGTCGCGATCGATTTTGTCTCACGGCGTTCGGACTGAGCCTGCACTGCCTATACAAGCGCTACATAAGTAGGCGCACGAAAATAATGCAGCAATAGAGAATCGACCAACTCAATAGTATCGTAATTTCGATCCTTCCTTCGAAGTATCGTTATCCTAGAACTCGATCTAGCTACCTATAAAACCCGAACCCAATGAGGCTCCGGCTGTGCATTCAGTGCATGCGGCGACATGTATACCCCTGCCCCAAGCACGAGCCCAGTAGTCTTCATCAAAAGGCTAACCCAGTAGTTTTTAATTTCGTGGAAATCGCGCAACTCGAGTAGTCGTCCTTTCATACTTCTGCGTTTATACATCCAATGAATTCCTGACGCTACTGCTGCCGCTGCTTCTGCCGCTGTAGGCGCTTCCTCGATGTGCGGGATATCGAATTTTTTTTCAACGCTCGAGACCGATGATCATTTGGCTGTCGCTGTGGCCGCAAACTATACCCTGATCCTTTTAAAGGTACGGCTAAATGCCCATCGCTTACAATATACCTAGCTATAAAAAAAATAAAAACTGCTCTTGTATGTATACGGTTTTCTTTTTGTTATTCTTAAACGATCGGCACTGCAATGCCACGAAATCCTGATATTATAATTATCTCATCTGAATCTTAGCTTTCTATTTTTCTGCTTTTTTTTTATTTGTTACATTTACAAGATTACTCGACGCGCACAAGAGAAGCAAGTACATACATAGAACTCGACACGACATTACCTCTAGGAAGCGAGATAAAAATAAAAAAATACTTGTCAGCTTAACGGTAGCAGGTCTTTTAGCCAAGCCAAGAATGTAAACGTCGCAATCGAAACAAAAGCTAGTGTGTACGATTCGAATATATACGAGCGAGGTCCTTTTTTTTTGCGTTAGGGCAGAAATTACAGTTATCGGCCGGGCAAAAGTGTTTTTCTACGGGCGAAAAACTTTTATCTCCTTCTTGGGCTAGCGTGTTTCTTTTGGACTCTCGAGACACGAGAGCTGGATATACAAACATCGTGTCGCCGCAAAAATGCAGTGCACTTTGTCTCTGTGTAAAGTATACATAACCATTATGGCCACGTATCACTGGAGTAAAAGCATTTGTCCACCCTTTCGACGCGCGCTCGTCTTTTTCCGCGAAATTTCCGCCTCGCAACGAAATCTTTTGGGAAAAGCGATCTCGAGTGCGAGTGTCATCGGTGTGCGAGCTAACCCGTAGCCCCGAGTAATCGAGAGGATATTATTGCAGGGGCTGCACCGACTGTTGAACAACAAAGACAATGCGATGATTAATATACGTGCTCGAGAGGCCTGGACATCATTAAACGGAGGCTCTCATGACACCTGTGTGTGCAGTATATGGCCTGCGGGCCGAACGCATACTCGTATGCGCGTTGCAGCTTGAGAGATTACCTCAGTCGTGCGGCTTCTCTATTCCTTTCTTTCTCCCTTTCTCTCGCTCTTCCTTTCTATCTCTCTCTCTCTCTCTTTCACTCCCTTTTTTCTCTGCTGCTCGTAATCAGTCCGAATTCCGCACGCACAGCTTTGATTCGAACCACTGATATGCAGTGGCCTTTTTTGTTGTTCGCTCGTATTCCGATGTCTCTTACATAATTTGTCAGAAGCCAAGTGATTTATGATGTATTTTTGTTGATGCACCGCAACTTTTTTTTAATAACTCGTCTTCGCGCCCGAATATTGAGAATGTGAGGATTTCTCGTCGAGAGTCGCGAGAAAGAGAGAGAAAGAGACAGTTATAGAGCCCGAAGATATGATGGGCTTTTCGTCGCTGCTTGGCCAAAATTTAATGCGATATCCGGTCTGGCGATCATGGTCATCTCCTTCGCTTTCTATTATTCGAGCTTAGCGTACTAATTTGAGTGGCTTCGAAGCACATCGTTTGATTGACAGAGCCTTCTTATTTTTGTCTGCTCCTGCCAACCTACTCGAATTCCGAACGCGCGGCTACTGTTAAAATTACGTGTTATTCTATCTTGTCGTGTCATTAATTGGAATACG